TTTTTTTTATGTTGTTACGTGCCTCCCAGTTTATATAAATCTAGCATCGGATTTAGGTTGTTGACCCACCATCGAATTTTTCTTCTCCAACGGGAGATACTAACGAAGTCTGATATCAATTAGAGTTCGTTTTCCTGCTCAATTTGTGATGTAGAATATTATTATTATTATTATTATTATTATTATTATTATTATTAGCTTTAACATTTATTTATATTTAGTGATTTGGTGGACAAGATAGGTTTTAGGATCTGGTGTCTTATTTAAAGACATCTTTTTTTTGTTAATGGGTGGCAAATTTAATAATAAAAATTGATTGAGTTTTGTGAGTTTTATCGAGAGAGTATCTCGTTTATTATTATTATTATTAGGTATCTTGGAAAATAAGTTAGTAATAAATAATATTATAAAAGATCTTGTCTTGTTGGACAAGTTAGTAATAGAGTTTATGAGTCTTATTTAAGAGGCTCTTCATCTATTGTTTTATGGAAGTTGATTATTGAAATGAAATAGATTAAATATTGTGAGTTTAGCGTGTTTTACGAGAGAGTATCTCCTTTACTCGTTTATCTATCTCATTCGTACGCTTTTCCCTTGGTATCAGCAGTCAGTACGATTCGCGATGTCGCCGGGACGACAAGATGCCGCAAACAAACAACATGATTCAATCTTCAACGATCGTTTTCAACAGATTGACTACCGATTTCAAGAGTTGGACGTACGTTTCACGGATTGGTTTGCCGATCTTTCAACGGGGATCGAGAATTTGCATTTAACGCTTAACAACGTGGTTGTTTCGGAATTGCAAACGAACCGCGATGGGGCTGTGAGCCGTGGGTTTCGCGGGGGAGACAGAGGCAGTTGTGGGGGACGCAGCCATGTCAGGACGCCCCGGCAGCGGTCCCCGCCACCTCTGAACGGCTTCGTGGACGACGACGATCAACGCAGCGACAAGGGCTGGCGCGAGGAGGCAGCCTTCGCTGGCGGTTATCGTGCCCCACGGGATTGGAGACTTGATCATGAATATGGTCATTGGGAGGGCCCGTTTCGCGTCGACATCCCCGAATTCGACGGAGAGTAAGTTGACGGACCATTGTATGACTGTCCGCCGATTTTCGATGAAGAGCTTTCGGGGCCCGAGGAAACGCTTTCTGATTTTGGCTTGTGTAAGACACTAGAAAAATATTCATTCATGTTACTAGAAGTTGCTGATTTTATTGCTCTGTATTCTAAAAATGAGTGTCACAGGCATTCGGGCACAGAAACTGCGCTACAAAGTGGAAACACAATAATCGTGCATATTCGACAGTGGGGACACTTGATTATTTGGCGCCAGGGGTTTTGTTAAAGAAATGGTGACATGTCGTAAGATAATAAATTGGAGAACATATTTGAAGTTCCCTGAAGAACCAAAATGTCTTATGAGGCTACGGATCTGATCCTCCATTGTTATGTGAGGTTGAGCGACATTCAACCTTCGTGTTCGATCGGGGAAAACGACGGGGTTCGCTACCAAGAGTTCGACACCACACGTCGGCCACGGGAGCGCATCGGCTTCGAGGGTGAAGCCTTTCGAACCGAGGGAGAATGATGTAGAATATTATTATTATTATTATTATTATTATTATTATTATTATTATTATTATTATTATTATCATTTAACATTTATTTATATTTAGTGACTTGGTGGGCAAGATAAGTTTTAGGATTTGGTGTCTTATTTAAAGACATCTCTTCTTTGTTATTGGGTGGTGAATTTGATAATAAGATCTGATTGAGTTTTGTGAGTTTTATCGAGAGAGTATCTCGTTTATCCTTCCCACTCGGACGCTTCCCTACATCAATTTGTCATCTAAAAATAATTTTAGTCCAAATGCATTGTTATCTATCTAGGGACCTTTTGGTGCCCTATGGTGTATGTGTTAGTCGAGTGACTCACCGTTGGATTTATCTCATTAATTAAGACGTTCATAATCATAAATTTTTAGCTCAATTAGATTTCATTTGTGCAGCCAATTTTTCGTCCAAAATAATTTGTGTTGTTCTATTTTTAGTTTAATTATGGTGTCGTCTCATGTCAGTTTCAAATACTTGATCCACTGTTGAATTATTTGTGTCGAGCGAGACGGTCATATAGGCAAAAAACATCAGACAAAATGGAGTTTGTTTGCTTAGTCAATCGTCAGTTCAAAGTTATATGCACAAACTACATTTTCGGCCCGTGATTAATGTACCTTATTTGGTAAATTGTTCAAATTAATGAACTAAATTTGATGTCCGCAAAAAAAGTAAATTTTGGCTTAAAAGTGACAAATATAATGGACTAAGAATGAAAATATTTCAATACATATATGCAAAGTACTTCCCTTCGGTAGTTGTGATCAGGCAATTTGCTTTTTTTTTTTTTTGGGTACAAAGAAGGAGACTAAAGGCCTAAAAACTAGACAAGAATGCGTCGGGGATACGACACCCCGATAATATCATGTTGAAGCCATTCCCCTATACTAGTAGGCGGCGTCGCAAGCACATGGAGACCGATCGGATAAGAGGAAGCAAGGCCCGCTAGGTGGTCCGCCGCAAATTTCGCCTCTCGATGCACATGTCGAAGGCGAATAGTCTAATCCCGTTGGAGCATTTGACGAACGGCCATGACTAATGCACCATTCGTCCCAAAGTCCATACCCGAGCCAAGAACCATTTGGATCACACACTTGCTGTCAACTTCCACAACCACTTGACGGAACCCTTTATCCTATGCAAGTTGAAGACCCTGAAAAAGACCCCACAATTCCGCTCCAGTGATGGTGCAATATCCAATATGCATGAGAACCCCCCCCCCCCCCCC